CCCTGGAGGCGTCCAAGGCCAGGGTGGACGGAGCCTTGAGCAGGCTGATCCAGTGGGAGGTGTCCCTGCCAGGGCAGGGGGCTGGAACTCGATGATCTTTGAGGTCTCTTCCTACCCAAACCATTCTACAATTCATTCACTCTCCGTGGGCGCTCTGCAGCAGCCAAGACTTTTCTTGGGTCCTTCTTTCCTCCCAAGAAGAGTCGGTTGCTCACCTCAAATCCAAGCACAAGTCTCAGGATGTTGAACACCAGCCGAGCTCAAATCCCAACCTTGGAGCCCTCGAGTTGGTCGCCAGCACAGGGAAGAGGAAAACCAGGCAAAACCCTCAGGATATGGATCACAACCCCAACTTTCTCCCCAGCCACTCCCTGGTTCTCCACCAGGGTGGTTTCAGCTCCACGGAGAGACATGTGTCCTGTGGGGAACGTGACAAACATCCAAAGGCCGAAGATGGGACAGGTCGATATGTTCACTCTTCCCAAAATTGAAGGCACCGTCACGAGCGCCAAGCCCTTCCCCCTTGGATTGGCAGCTCCGGGACAACATTCTCGCCCCAGCTTTCTGCTGGCAGCTGCTGAGGCTGAAGCTGTTTCTGAGCTGACAGCTCCTGGCAACACAGATGGATATTTAGAACTTAATTCCCTTCAAAACTTGACAGAATCAAACCTGATTTATATCTAAACCCTGGAAATCGCGAGCAGATGGGAAGAGCAAGGTTCTTCATCTGAAGAGCATTTAACGGCACGCCGGAAAAATCACACGGCTCGCTCAAAAGCACTTGATATTCATCAAGGCTCAGCAATCCTCGGTGCCATCTCTGTTTTTTTTCTCCCCATCCTCCCCAATTAAAGCGCATCGCATCGGCGGGTTAATGGGCAACGCGACAGGAGGCTCCCGTAACTGGCTCTCAAAAAGACCCCCCCGCCTCTATCGCGGCACTTTCTCCCCCTGTTTCCGTGCCTGGTTGCGCTGTCCTAGCGGTGGTGAGGCAGAAGCCCGTTGCTCATTTGGCGCGCCAGGGAGAAAGCACTTTAGAAACGTGAAGCGTCACAGCGAGGATTGGGCACAAAGTGCTCGCCCGTCTCGGTTTTCCATTTGGAGAGCTCAAAGAGGAATGGCCACCATTTGAAAAACCAGCTCGACGTGTCACCTATTTCCCCAACTGCTTCTGCTAGTCTATTCTAACTTCCTCTCCTCTCCTCTCCTCTCCTCTCCTCTCCATTCCACTCTATTCTATTCCATTCCATTCCATTCCATTCCATTCCATTCCATTCCATTCCACTTTATTCTATTCCACTCTATTCTATTCTGTGCCATGCCATCCCATCCCATCCCAACTTTCAAACAGAAAGACAGAGAAAAATAAAAGGATTTCATTCCCGTTTAGGTAAAGCCCCGCATCTGAAAAGCATCACCTCCGGCAGCAAACCCAACGTTACATCCGACGAGACAAAAAGAAAGCTCTTTCTTGCAAGCCTTGAAAGGTTCAAATCGACACGAAGAAAAAGAAAAAAAGAAAGGTTCAAATCAACACGAAATCCTCAAAGTTTTGTCAAAATTAGTTCTGGAAAGCTCGAAGAGATATTCACCTCTTTGCTAGCACGGCGCCACCAGTGTTGCAAGGGGACAGCCCCAGCTGCACCCCAAACTTTCTCTCCATCGAGCATTTGTGACCATGAGTTTAATTACCTGTGCTGGAAAGTTGCTTGGATTGTTAACAAGAAATGGATTTCATGGGGGATGGCAAATCCTGCTAAAAATTTACAACGATGGTTCATTTTACTTAATATTTATGTTCTCCTTGAAGGGAGCTGTAAAAACAAATAGAAGAGGCTTTGCTGTGCTACCACACGCGCGCCTCGCTTTTAGATGTTTCTACTTGACCAATAATTCGATTTCAAGAGTGGGTTATGAGACAGCCAGCACCACAGTCATAAACTATTAATTTTGCTAACGAGGCTCTAGAAAACACCGCGATGTTTGCTGCCCCAGACATAAATGGAAGGAGGAGGAAAAAAAAACCAACCCCCAAACAATTAAAAATGAATTATTTTCCTCCTCCAACACAGGGAAAGAAGCCAAGAGGATGCCGAGAGGATTCGTCATGTACCTGAGGAAGGAGCAGCGAGCAAACGATGCCCAAAGTAGCCTCAAAGTTGTCTTTGAGCCAGAGCCCGACAGCGTGGATGCAGCCTCGCACGTGGATGACGTCGAGCAGCTCCAGGCGCTGGAAGAAGAGCAGAGAACCAGTCTCATGTTTTTTGTCGAGACGTTGGGTTTGGGAAGATGAGATTTCTTGCTCCTTCTATGCAAAGCTGAAGGAGCAACGTGAGAAGCGTTTGGGATTTGATTTCTTGGATTAGACCTTCCCCAGGTTTTCTTGCCAAAAAAACACCCCTGGGAGCTACGGATTGTACGCACGGATAGGCTGCGCCTCTATCCCATGAACCGGCCCCACCGTCACACCAC